TTTGGCGTTTTAGCGGATCTCGAAGGAGGTTTCGAATCGGGCATTTCCAAATATTGTTCGTCTAAATCGGTTTAGAGGTTCTCTTGTTATAATCAAAATACTGTATATGTAAAATCCTATCTAATTGGAGGTTAGAAAATTTGGTAGCTAATTTCGCATAGGTCATGAAAGCTGTTGTTGTAATAATACTGTTTACATTTATTTAAAATTTCGTGAAGACCTAAATACCAAGCAAGGGGAAGACATTGATTAAAGACTAGAAGACAGAAATAACGTGCGAAATCCTTAAATTAGAAAAGTAAACCACACCTCTGCAACCGTTGAAAAGCATCGTATGGTTTTCGAATGTCGAAAGTCGAAATCTTATCAATACTACCTGGTTCAACTTTGAACGTGGAAATAAACCCCTTCGAGTTACAGCTGCTACAATGAGGTCAATAAAAAGGAATCAATAGAACTATAAAAACGATGAAGTTATTTAACACGTCTCAATTTTCCACCTCCATCTGCATCTAATCACAACCTATATTTCGTTAAATTAACAATTCTATAAAAACTCCAACTCATTTTATTTCAAATAAAAGGCTTTATCATTGTCATCCTTTCGAAAGACCTTAAAAGATATTTTATCAATTCGAAACCATTCATCAAAACAAGCCATTTTTAAACAACTTTATATTACAACTTAACCCGCAGATCATGACTAACGACTGTACCTATGGGGATAATTTCAAGACAGAGCTTGGTAGCAAATTCGCCAAACAGAGTAAAGTAGAGGCCCTAGCAAACCCAATTGTAGATATTATATTTATCAGGGATTCCAAAGTTGAGGCTTGCTGGATGCCGGTCAGTTTTATAACCATCTATTACAAATAAACGTTACTATGTGATTCTATACTTTGCATTAAATGACTTCGATGAAAAGCCTTAGAAAAGCTGAGAACAATATTAGAATCATTAACACTTTGTTATTAATTGATCTTAAATTGTCATCAGTCATTCCTAACATGTTTTGAATGCACTTTACTGGAAAAGCTGTTCATCGCGTAGTATCTCATGTGGTAAATGTTATCTACTGTGATTGTGAAAGAAATTTTGTCATATAAATCATAAAATATCACTTATATAAAAATCACTGAAATAAATCACTTATTACATGAATTATCTAAAGCTGTGCTAATAAAACTAACCAAATTAAATAACATCTTAATCCAACTCTGATCTTTATTTTAAGCGTTTAGTAGAGACAGGTGATGTAATTCAATGTGATGTAATTCAAAACTTATCTTAATCGTATAAGAACTAATGTCCTACGAATTGTACGAATTATTAACATAAGCTGATGCTTGTTCTTCGATCAAATCAACATGGTAATTATGTAATCATTGGTCTCTTTGTATTAACCCGTTCATAAATCTTAAACAAATTAGGCGCAATATTATTGGGCCTTAACTAGATCAACTGAAGGGGATTAGGGGTGTGTGGGATTAAAGCTACTAATGTTTTCTTCCAAACATCAAGTCAAAAATATGATCATCCTCTATATAACTGGCTGGTGAAAACAGCTTTACAAAACAGTTGTAAGAAACATTCACGTCTCATCACACTAACGAACCAAATAATAATAGCTCAGCAATTGTGTTCAACGCAAGCTCATTAGTCTGTGGTAAATTCGAACTTCAAAAAAGTTATATTGAAAGAAATTCAAATTTTAAAAGTGAAGCACAAGGATCGGTTCTAATTTCTAAGTCAGAATTAAAATAATTACAAGAGAAAGGAATGATAATTTATAAACAAATGTTAACCATCCAATAATCTTGGTTGGCACTTTCCAACGAATTGAAAACTTGCTAATGTTTTTTTGGAATATGGAAATCCCGAGACTTACATTCTAAGTTATTAGATATTGGTTGATACATGTTTCCAACTTAAACTTTAAGCAACTATTCCACCAATCAACAGATTCAGAGCGACTGTCAAACGTAACGACTCTGTCGTCATTCCTATTGACCGTTTCTTCTCTATCATGACTCATGAATCTAGTTGAAACCCTAAAAATGTTGCTACTGACATATTTAAAACAAATATCGTTTCCACTCTTAACCACTCTATTCAACATATACATAGATGACATATAACTCCATCATATTTTCATATGCAGCTAAAATTGCCTGAATGTTACAAAGTTTTGACCTAGGACATGCGGTTGAACAACAATAATTTGTAACTATAAAGTCCTTAATAATCCGATCTTGCAATCTTGTTCGAATTTCTTGTTTCCAAGCTCTTTCAATGATGTTTCAATTATTTCGATAAGTGTTGGTTTTTATCTTCAACTTTGCAGCTTTCCAGAATTTTGGAATGTAATTTTTAGTCACGGCCATTTCGTTCTATTTTTTAGAAATTGGCCAACCGACTATTATTTGTTTTTAACTTTTTATTAAATTTGTTCCAATTTTATTCCATAAGTACTCGATATGGTTGATATCGGACGACTGTAGATGTATACAATATTTAATATTGCCCATTGTAATACCCGATTTGTTATATGTTTCAATTCATTAAACGGACTAAACATAACGGACCTCCAAAATGATATACGATATTCGTTTTCTTAGAAATACTTGTGTGCATATCTCACCTCGTAACACATTTCTGACTGTTTCAAATTCAATACTCATAATCTGCCTTTGTCCTTTAATCTGCTTAAATGCATAATCAATTACAAATAGCGAGTTTCTAAATAACACTGAATTACTTTGAAAATAAGTAATTTTTACTAATTTGTTTAAATTTTTAATTCCAATTTTTACTTAAGTCAGTTCAAACAGTGGTTGTATAAAATTTATTATTTTAATTATTTTCTTTCGTTTTTTAAGATAATTACATTAATAGCTTTCGGACAAAATTCCTCCATAATCAATAAAGCTACAAAATAAAGGTGATTCTATGCTTCTACATGAAATGATGCTGTTCATGCAAGTAAACTTGATAACAAATAGTTGTTGTGGAGGAAGTTAGGTAATTTCCTGATCTCTGTCCGTTCTGTAATGAATCTTATTCTGCCCCTTCTCCACGTATGTTAGGTTTAAATCCAGGTTTGTTTATAATGCTCATATGTAATTTAATGGTTAAAATATCTAACAAGATTATATTTTTATTATAAATACGATACTAGGTTTAGATATCACTAACAATAATGTTTTGATACATATTTTTTTCGTGTTTATTTAACTAATCTATGGAATATTTCGATTATTAGACATATTTGTTTATTATGAACATTTTTGATATAGAAGCTTTTATCCAACTTTTTTCTTATACGAGTAATCTTCAAATTTAATTAGGATTTTCTAATTAGATGTTATAATCATTTTAAAGAAGATTTTCTTAGTTTTAATTTGGTATAGAAGTCGATTTTTAATATTTATGTCTAAACCCGATACGATTTTTTAAACTTAACAGTGTTTATATTTAATTTAGGTTAAGTTCTAAATTGCAACATTCTCAAAAAGACTTGTTTTTGAAGAAATTTAAAAGAAATGCATTTGGTGTTATATGTCATTTTAAAAAACATTTAACAATTATTTATCTTCTTTTTGACGCTCAGTGCGATTTTGTATAGCTGACAGCTTTTCTATTAAATTTAGGTCATAACCAAAATCGCAACATTACCAAAAAAAGCTGTTTTGAAGGAAATTTAAAAGAAATGTATGTGGTGTTATACAATCATATTAAAAAAGATTTTCTTAGCTGTAATTTGGTATAAAACTCAATTTTATACCTTCATATCGATGCCCTGTGCGGTTTTTGAAGATGATATATTTTCTACATGAAACTAATCAATGGTCTCAAATTAATTATTAAACAAGTATATCAAGTAGGAATTATTTTTCATATACAAAATTTTTGTTAATTTTTAAGTTGTGTATTACATATTTTATTAATGATAATTTATTCTTTTAATTTGCCCTTGGATTGTGCTGGGTTAAAAATACAGATTTATGATTATATATTAAAGAAGGATTTTGATAAATATTTTTCATTAATTGCTTTAAAATAGCAACAAGTATTTTAATTGTTCGACTAAAACTGTACTAAATTATTACACAACACATTACATAACATTCAACATCAATTATGGTTTCTGAAATCCTTAAATAGATTTGAACTAAACGTTCCACTTAAAACATATCTTGTATTAGAAATCATTATGTGCGTATAGAGCAAAAATATATATTCAACCTGCTCTATTGCACACATTTCCTACAGTCATTCTGTTACATAATGAGCCAACCCAGGAGCACTTCTCGATAAAACATATCGATAAATCGAACTCTTTCCCTTGTCGGGTTTTAGAAAAGAAGTCGTTCGTTTTGATCACGGTGTTTAAACGGTAAATGTGAAAGGCAAATTGTAATTGTGCCGTCGTCAGTGAGAACAAATTAATGCTTTTCAAGCACTTTTATTGTTATAATAACGTTCTAATGATATCTACACACTAGGTTGTCACACGGAGTGCTTCAAAGCAACGAACATTTGTGCGCTGGTTGGTAATCGTGTCAATAACTCTTCGTCGTTATGATTACCCCATAAGAAATTGTTGGCTAAAATCGTTTGTTGCATAACGTTTTCGAGGATGGTAATTAATAACAATATGAACCTGTTCGTCAAAAGAGAATTGTTGCATTGTGTCGGAACTTGTGGCTTTTGTAATAAATATTGCAAAGGAATTTCAAAGTTATGAATGGAAGATCGGCGTGTGAAATGATGAAAGGTTTCTAGTGATAGATGGAATGACTGATAGCTTCAACCGCCCACAATGTAGAATACTCACTCGTGTTATGCAATGAGAATTAATTTAATTATTGGTTATTAATCACTTTAAAATGATTTTAAGTTACATAATAATAAACCTATTTCTTTTATTTTTATTGGATAATTAATAATTTGTCTTTGCGTATAGAATTAAAATTTTTATTTTTCTTATTTTGTTCCAGGAAAACTTCAAGCTCATTGAAGATACCCGACATAACTCTTGCCATAGTACGCCTAATAGTAGAAGGGAATCTTTGTGCTCGTCATCAGATCGAAGATTAATGCCACCCATAGAGAATATCTTGTATCAATCGCAAATCGATACTTTACAATGGCAATTAAAACAGGTAATTACTTATTTTTGAAGAAATCTTTTTTCCTAATTATCTAAAATCTCTTATTACGTTGTTTTAATCTTTTTATAGACTGAAGCTAGTAGAGAAATGTATCGAGCAGTGATGAAGCAAGTTGTAACATTTTTGGAGAGAGCGCATCGAAGTTTAGAAATATTAGGAAAGAAATCTGTCAATCAACCAGTTCATAGATCAAAAAGTGAACATCATGTAGCAACTTTAGAAATATCTCCCAATAAATCTGCCACTTTTAATCCTTATGAAGATTTATGGTACGTTCTTTAAAAATTATTTATTTTTGATGCAAAGATTTTATTTCTTTTTTATTTTAGGAAGCACAAAAAGCCAGAAGTAGCCCCAGATGAGATACCGCCAGAAAAATTAGCACAAGAAGCATTTCGTCTTTTGAGAACTGCACAATCTTTATTAAATACAAGAGAACCTAATTTAGCACACGTTAATAATGAACCGGAAGATGATATAAGTTTCTTATCTCAATTAGCAAAGGAGTTTCCGGCCGATAGAAAACAACCAACAGCAATTTCCCTAAGTCCGAAATTATTAGTACCAGAAAAAGAAAATAGATTTTCAAGAAAATTATCGTTGCGATCTAACGATTCTCCATTTGGTGCCAGGAGACGCTGCGATACATCAATTAACAAAAAAGAAATTTCTCAAGATAACTTCATAGTTCCCATTGAAAAATGTAACAAAGAAAAATATAAATACGAGCCAGAAAAATCCTCCTCGCCTCCAGTTAGTAGTATAAGTTCAGCCGAAGATGAAAGTGGATTTTCGTCAATGAATTCCTTCCAAGAAGTTGGATTGCCAATTATATCTTCGACTATAACCGAAGAAACATTAACAAAAGAAGCTTTGCTAAGAAGTATGCTCCATAATGAAAACACTTATTACAGCCTACAAGATTATCACGTAAACGAACGAAGTAATTTGTCCGAAATGAAATATCAAAAACCGAAACCTATTGATGATCGAAAAATTTGGTCAAAACCAGCGACCCATCAAAGATCAAACTCAGTGCCAGTTGAACCGATTGCCAATGAAAACATTAATATGAAAGTTTTGTGGGTTTGAAATAAGTTCCGCTTCAACTATAATTTTCAATTTTAAGGATTAACCATACTTTTCTTATTTTTCGGCTATCGTTAATAACCGAATTAATGTAGAATTATACTGTGAATGCGCTTGAGTATGTAATCACGATATTTAATTATTTAATTGTAAAGAATGTTGTATAAATACATGAATTTCGTTGACTGTGTTGCGTTTTGTATGTTGAGAAGTCTATATTTAAAAAAAAATGTTTCTTAATGTTTTTTAACTAAATAACATTTGTAAATTTCCACGTATCACTTAAAATTGATTAACATAATTTCCATATACTTATTTAATTTGTCCGTTAAATTTGAAAACATTAAAATACAATTAAAAGATATTGACATCCTTGAATTGTGTATCCTCATATCATCGTTCAACCATGAGTTAGACATAACAAAACAATGAATAGTATTTTAAAATTTTAGTTGAAAAAGTTAATTTACTCCTATAATAGCTTTCTTATAACTGTTTTTTTTTCTAAATATTGGATTATAAATTTTACGTGCTTTATTTTGGTTTTTTACATTTTATATTTACGTTCTTGAAATGGTCATTATGTCGAGTTTTTAAATATCGTATATTTATAATCAGCAGACCTATTTCAAGGTATACCCAAAGAAATTTTTTAATCTGAATGATAAAAAAATGTTGGAATTTATGTGTTTAACACAATCTTTAGATCTTATATTCATAATCGCTATGGATGTACCATTGTCATCATCTGCAACGATTATACATAGACAGTAATTTTAACTAATTTGCGAAATGTTGTTTTCTTATTAAAATCATATAAAGCTATAAGAACGAGTTAGGAAGAGTATCTAGTTTTTAACAAAGAAATCAGCGTATGAAATTTTCGATTATTATCTTGAGATATAACATTGCAACTTAATCAATATTTTACAAATCTTTGAAATAAAAGTTTTCCTTGGTACTCTTTAAAAGTCCGTGTAAAGTAGGTTTCTACAAATTTGTCACAGTTTGCAAAGAAAATTATCAAGTTTTTAACAAAGAAACCAGCTATGAAAAAGTCTGTCATTTCTTGAGATATAACTGTCGAACTTAATTACTTTTAATCTTTTTCTTTCTAATATGGATATCCCCGGAAAATGAGGTCAACGTATGAAAATCTCGATTAGAGAGAGAGAGAGAGAATATATCTTTATTCGTCTATACATACACCTACATTTGCAGATCTTTCCACCGTAAAATATTGTTAGAAATTATTTATAAATAATACATACATAAGGCGTTATTTTTCGTATTATGTCATTAAGTTTTTCTAACAGTTGTAGTTTTATGTCCGAGATTTTCGCCATTATTTCTAGATAAGGACATATAATTTAATAATTGTCTGTTCAATGTCCTGTTGATAAATTTTTGTCATTGCAGTTCGTGTCTTTCTTTCGTTATTGGTGTGGTTTTTGTCGGTTCGTATACCTTTTTATTTTGAATGTTGTGTAGTCCGAATAACCGGATGGCGTATCTTTGTTATTACCCTTAAGCATTTTCTTTTATTTTATTATCATATCCATAGTCCAACAAAGCAATAGTTAGTGCTTTGTAGATGAGTACGGCCGTTTTAGTGGAATTTCCTTATTGCTTCCTTTGTTGTTATGTTGCGAAAGTATTTTGCTCTCCGTATTGCTTCCAATTGTTTTTCTTTGTAGTGTTTTTTAAGACGTAGTTTCTTGTCTAAAAGTCATATCTAGATAGTGGATGTTTTCCGGTAGTCTTCATTTACCATGTTCTATTTGGATGTAGTCTTCATTTGAATAACCAGGTAAATGTCTCGTTGTTAAATGTTTGCATTTTTTTTTATTGCTTCCATACGGGTTTTTGCGTGGGTGACCACTGTCGTGTCGACTGCGTATTGTAGGATATATCGATTTGGGAAAGTAAATAGGAAATATCGAAGAGGGAATGGTCGAAACAGTAAATATTGTATAGAGTAGAGTAGGTGATAGAGGAGATCCTTGAGGAATGCCTTGTAAAAGAGAAAGCGGGTTAGAATGTATATTGCTGAATTTTATAGGTCTCTTCATTTAAAAAGTCGGTTGGGATTCGTATTAGATATGGGTTTACATTTAAAAGATTCATTTTGTAAATTATTCCCTTATGCCACACGCTTTCAAAAGCTTTGTTGGCTTTTGAAAACTACTGCCGTGCGTTTATTTTGTAAGTGTACTGTTTCAATGTTGTTGAATAAGATGGAAAGAAGAAGGGAGGTAGAGTTTTGTGGTTTGCAGCCAAATTAGTATAGTATAGGGAATCTACGATGTTTAGGATTCTTGCGTTGATTATACTTTCCTATATCTTTCCGATTACGTAGAGAAGGGAGAGAGCGATTAGGAGCGTTTAATAGTTTTTGGGGTTTGGATAGTCGGTATTAGGTTTGGGTATTGTAATGATGATTCCAGATTTCTACACAGAATGAGATACTTGTGACTGTAGACAGTAATTAAGGAATCTACGTACATAATTGTGAACCTCCGGATCTAGTTTTTTTTTTAAATAAGTATTATTATCAGGTTTTGCCCTGGTGTGGTGTTTTTTCCTCTATGAATATATATATTGGTGCTATTAAATACCCTGCGTTTTCTCTCGGTATGAATATGTCTAGAAAAAAAAAATTGAGTAAGTCAGATACCAACACGGTGTTGTTGTACATTACTGTTGGAATCGGCCAGGGTCTCTTGTATTTGGTGATTTTCTTAATCTCGTTCCAGTATGAATGCTCTTTGTCCTCCTTAATTTCTGAACAAACTTGTAACGGTTAAATTCTGTCTTCAAATTTTTGTCCTTTGTCTTTTGATACTGTCTGTATGTCGTTCTCTTAGCATGTATTACATTCAATATATCTTTGGAATGTATGTAAACGAAACGGTTATATGTTACTGTTGGAGATTGTTTCATAATGGATTGCGTGAATTGTTGCAGAAATTTATTAATGGTTTCACCGTTAATTGGTGTCGGTGTGTTGTTTGTGATAAACATCATCAAGTCATTATTCACTCCTTCCGTGTTTGCCTTATTTAGGTCGTATTTAGTTTGTCTTTCAGGTTGGTCTGGAATTATATTTGTTTGGAATTTGAGGGAAATGCTGAGATGTTCTGAACATAGGCCTCCCGTCACGCCAACTTCTGGTATGTTATATTTGAGATTTTCCGTATACAATAATATGTCAGGCATCGTATCGTTGTTAGTCGGCATGATAAAGGTAGGTTTTGAATCTCGGTTATTTCGTGAGATATAACTTTCAAACTTGCTTTTTATAAATGATATAAAATTAACAGTTTTCTTTAGTAATTCTTAGTAAATTAATTTAGTAAATTAGGTTGCTTATTTAATTTTTATGAATCTATCACAACCTGTAAAGAAAAGTACTAAGTTTTTAATATTGAAATCTGACTGAAACTTTAAATAATTTCATGAGACATAAATATTTGAATTCATTCGCTTTTGCCAACGTTTAAATCTATTGGTGTTCTCCCTTATTTTTAGAAATCTACGAATAATTGATTATTTGTTTAATCGTTATAAAACTAGCACAACTTGAAAACGAAATTGTCTAGTTTCTAATAAACAGATCTATTTCTGAAAATTTCAGTTTGATGCTGAGATATGAATTTTTGAATATAATCGGTTTTCTGTCGTAGTTCAAAATTACAGGTTATATAGTTGTACAATAGGGCTGTTAAGGTCAATCGATTAGAAAGACCGTCTTTCAAAAAATCGATAATCTAAATTAAACTAGACGGATTAGTAACGTTCGAAAATTGTTTAATTTTTGCAATATTTAATGTAAAAGTTTAAAATTCCCCACCCCCGACTCCAGATGACGTTTTAAGTAAGAAGAAAGAAATCACAGACGTTACGCTCGCTCCCGTTTTCTTCTGTTTTCTTCTAGCGCATAAGATTCGTAGCATTGTCTCTCTCCAGGAATTTTATTGATTTTTATACGCTCCAATCGTACGGTCAAATCTGAGTGACGTACTTTGGAGTTCGCGCCCTGTAGTTTCAAACTTTATTATTTTCTTTTGGAACAACTAAGCCTCAGAATCAAAAATTAAAAATATAGGGTCCATCAATCTTAAAAAACGTTCGAATAAGCCAATAAAAAAAAATACTTAACGGCCCTATTCTATACAACAATTTAAACGCCAAAATAAATCTAACCTACAAGGATGACTATATAATTTGGGCGGCCATATATTATAAAGAGAACAAAATCGTATTTTTTTCCTACTAAACTACAGCTAATAAACACCTTTCTGTTATTCTGTCTAATCTCCAATAAGTAAATACAAAAGTTGTCTTCAGAAAAGATAATGAGAGCTCGGCGGTCTAATATCTATCGGGTAAACATCAGTTCTAAAAGTTATTCTATTGTATAGACAAGGTGTTTTGTGGGTTACGATGATCTTATAATATAAACATGTAAAATAAAATAATCTCAGATGTTCTATATTCAAACTCCCGATATTTGAAAGCCTATAGTTGACATTAATCGATCATTAATCAATTGATGACAAGAGTTTTGCAGTCTCTGTATCCTCCTTATTAAATAATTTTTAAACGAACATAAGCACGCTGCTAATATGTGATTTGTAAATATAAAATTTCGTCAGTTATGTAACGTGTTAATTAAATTAACTTCCAGGCCATGTGGAATGCTACAATCACTGCAGCCAAGCCAGATTTTCATTTGTATGGCCAGATTCGAATCTTTGCTAAGAAATGATAAATTGGCTGTCGGTTGTGGATGACATAATTCGGGCGAGGAATAAACATAAAGTTACATTGTTATGTCTGTTGGATTACTCTAAAGCCTTCTACCGTATTGATCATGATATATACTCAGCAATTTTAGACCATGTTGGGCTGGATGATAATTCTAAAAACTTGTTAACTGATTTTCTTACCGACAGACAGCAAACGGTGGCAGTTGGTGGGCTTCGCTCGGGGCCGCGTGCGGTGAGTTGTGGTTGCCCACATGGTTCGGTATTGTCATCTCTTATATTTATTTATTTATTTATTGATATCGGGGAGCAACAACAGGACAAACCCAATAAAGTTGTTCCACATAATTATTATATACGAAAACCTTAAAGTAATATTTAATGTGATTACAAATATGTTGTTATCTTAAATTAACA